TGTTTTACCAAAGTTCTAATCAACAGAATGGGGAATATTTGTAAGATCAATAATATTCTCAAAGGATCTAACTATATAGGGTTATCAGGAAAAAGTACTGCAGAGCCAATTTAAATTCTCAACAATATCTGTGAAGATGTGAAAGAAAACAAAAAGGAACTGTGGATATTATTTCAAGACACAGCTAAAGCTTACAACACTATCAGTTTGGAAATGCTAGTAAAGGCCATAGAAAAAATCAAGATACCTAAAGATTTAATCAAGATCGTGATGAGCCTTTTCAAAAATAGAGAATTCAAAGTTATATTTGAAGATAATTTAATAGAATCGATAAGAGCAAGGGATGGTATTGATCAAGAAGAAACCATCTCACTGCTAATATAAAGAATCTTCTATGACTTTTTACTTTACAAAATCTAAAATAACAGTAAGAGAGGATATAGAATGTCAATTACCTGGAATCCAGACTTTAAGGGACATATGATCAAAAAGCTAGAATCAAGGCATGCAGCAATAGCCTTCATGAATAACATAACATAAATAGCAAGGTCCAAGAATGACATGGAAAAGATTCTAAAAACAGTAAGAATCTTCTATATGGCCAATGACTCTCAAATCAATAGTAACAAATTGATTCTAGTTATTATAAATAATTACAACTGCTACCCAGAAGAAGTCCAAGCAGGTATTGAAAATGAGGTAGTTAAAGAACTTAATAGAACAGAGCAAGCAAGATTTTTGGGGATTTGAACAGGTAGCCAAAAAACAGTGATTGAGCTTAAAGAAAGAGTACTTAAAGAAATCCACATGGTTACTAGGGCCCTCAAAAACAAAAAAGTGATAGATAAACAAGTACTCTATATTTTGAATAGGGTATTAATACTAAGAATAGAATTCAGAATGCAATATAGTATATTGTTTTGGAAGATATGCACAACATTAACAACAGCATATAGAAAACTCTTCAAAAACAAAAGTTTATTATGCAAATCTATGCCCAATAGCATAATATACCATTCAAAAATCCATAATTTGAAGAGTATTTGAATGCTACAGAGAAAAAGCCAGGTAACAGGATTGTGCAACAGATTGAATGACCTTGGATTGGCAGGGACCACAACAATTATAAGGCTCAAACAGGCACAAATTAAATATTGGGAACTACTTAACCTTTTGACTTGCAACTCTCTTAATCATCTTCCAGACAAAGGCAACTTCTCACTCCAAGTAATCAAGCTAGCTAAGGATATGGGAATAATTTTCTATAGTTAGAAATGGCATGACATTTTTGAATGGGATAAGAAAAACAGTCTAATTAAAGAATACTTTTTACCTGATAAGTACTATAAGGTCATTCCATCATTAAGAAATAACAAGATGATATATATAGATCAACTTGTTGATAATAAGGCAAATGAATTTAGAAAATGGTGAATGCTTCAACTTATTCAAAAAACAGGAAAAGGTTCCATTCCAAAATAGTTCTTAACTATAAATAAGATGCTCTCCAGAAATCTTTTGAACCAGCACATAGAATATTGGGAAATAGATCAAACAAAATGGGAATCAGTATACTCCAAAGCAAGTGTCGATTGAGACAAAAGATAGAAGATATGGATAGTCAAAAAAGATCCTAACTATCAACTGTCTTGGGAAAAACTGGTACACAAAGTGACAAGAAATAAAGTAAAGATCTAATATTATAGCTGTCAGAATAATGAAAACAATCAGAAAACAAATTTGATAAAATACTCGGGTTGTTTGGAGAGTTGTATCCAAGAAAACAGCTGTATAATAGAAGAAAATATAAATAAAATATATATGATACTATATCTTAACACAAGAAAAGATACCGGAAGAGCCCAGATATTAACAATTTCAAGCTCTAAGATTTCACTAGAAAAAGCAATCAAAAGAGCAATATAAGATGATTGGGTTATAGTATGGAATTCTATCTTGCCACCCCCTTTTCAATGCATCAGAATAGACTATGTGGATATAGAAAATTGAAAAGAAACAATCATCAAAACAAATGTTAAAGAAGGAGTATATCAAGATCACTTATTAGAGATACTTCGATGTAATCAAGAATCCAATCAAAAGCTGACTTTCTATTTAGATGGCTCACTTGTCGATCATGGAAGTGATATAATAAAAATGGGAGTAGTATGGATCCAAATTAGTGAAGCAGAAAAGGAAAGTAGATTTCAAATGGGAGTAGATAATTGGTTCTCATCAACAAGTGTGGAAATAACAGCAATATTCATAATACTCCTAGTAGTTCCAATAAATAGCACAATTGAAATCTTTATAGATAGTCAAGCTTGCATCTCTAAATGGATATCAGTCAAAAAAAATGACCCAAAAAGAATACATAAAAGATGGTTAAAAGATAAAAACTGATCATTATGGATACGAATAGTAGAGCTAGTCAAAAAGAAAAATCTAGATCTAAAGCTTACCAAAATCAAGGCACATTGCAATGATCCCTATAATGATGAAGCAAATGCTTTAGCCAAAGGAGCCCTCAACTTGCCCACAATAGAATGGAAGGATCTCACTTCCTATAAAATCCCTACAAAAATCAAGTGGAAAGACAAGACACTAGATGATCCCATAAAACAATTTATCAAAAAGATAAATAACAAGACCGCAGTTTATCAATGGACAGTACATAATAGAACTGAAAAGAAATGGAGTCATCAGATTAAAAAACAACAAAAATACACTTGAGATCTAGCATGAAAAAGAATGAATGGGTATACATGGAACACATCTTTCAAAGACTTACAGAGAAAGAGCTTCCTCATTAAATTAATGAGCGATAAGCTACCAACTCTGAGTAAGCTGACAATAAGAAGGTCAAATCTATATAAGCAAGTGAAATATATTGCATGTGGCCTCCATAAAGAAGAAACAATCGATCACCTGCTAGAATGTCCAGCTTACAAGAAACAGATGCAAGAAGCATAGAACAAAGGTCTCGAAGGGGTTCTAAAGAACTTTAGAAAACTCCTACAAGAAAGAAAAAAGGAAGTGGTTGAGAAGAATGCAAGACTAATAATAGAGAATATGGAAGAATTGGAAGAAATTAATAAGTGAATATCCAGGCTGGTGTAACAAGCTTCGACAACTAGCCAAGATACATTGAGTTTCTTTACAGGATTGATAAGAAGCAATCTTGTTCTCAAGATAGCAGATCTTAGATACCATGGCAAAAGAATTGAAAAAGAAGCAAAAAAATGAATAAAGAAGATATAGAGTATAGTATGCAACTGATTCCATAAGAAGGTTTGAAACACAAGATGCAAAAAAATCATAGAATGGGAAAGAACACAGGGAATCTAAATAAATAATAAGATAAAAAGACCTCCAAGCCTTTCTGGTCAAAAACCTAAAACTGTATCACCAAAAAGAAAAGGAGCTTCATTAATAGAAGAAGAAAGATTAGAAAATCAAGGTCTCACAGATATCTTATCAAAAGGGTTTAGATTCAGAATAAAATGGTTAGATTTTGAGTTCTGTCAGAACTGCAAAGAGTGATCTACAGTAGTGACCTGCAGAAAATGATATTAAAAGTTGGAAGGACCTTCACCTGAACTTTTAATGAAGCGAAAAATCATTCTCAAAGTTATACTTAGAGTAATTATTGAGATGAATTAGCTAGTTAAAGTTTTAGCTTTAGTGATTCATACTATATATATAGCTTACAATTGTTTAATAAAGCACACATAATTAGCCTAACAAAGAGTTAAAAAAAAAATATTCAATTTTTATTACTTTACAAAAAATATTATAACTTTTGAATAAATATTAAAATAAAAAACTCTTTTCAAATTGATAGTTTATCAGTAAAATTATATTTTGAAAAAAAATATTTTTTAATTTTTATTTTTAAAGTACTATAATAATTAAATATTATCTATTTATATATAAGTTAAAATTTTGACATACTGTTTTTTTATATTGCACTTTAACTAATTAATAAATTTTAATAAAAATAAGTCAAAATAATATTAAATAATATATAATTAATATAAAAAAATTAAAAATATATTATTTTATAATTATTAACAATTATTATTTTATAATATTATTACCTTTTAATATTTGTTTGGACTATATTTTACAAATTTTTAATAGAGTTTAAGTAAAAATTATTAATAAACTATTTAATAATAATAGTTTATTAATAAAATTTTTAACAACTTTGTATATATGTTTAAAATTGTTGTTTTGTTAAAAATATTATTTTTTTATTAATATTTTTTTGATTTTAAATAAATGATTATAAAAAATTTTAATATAAATTTATTATCATAATGCTTTTAAAACAAAATAGATTTATTTTTTTTTCTTTACAAAAACCATCTCAAAAAAAAAAATATTTTTTGATCTTTAATATAATATAAATTAATTATAAATCCTTTTACTATTACTTTATAGTATTACAAAAAAAAAAAATAAAAAGATATTTTATTAGTTTTTTTTTTTTTTTTTTAAACCCTCTGTCAGGTTAGTTATGTGTGCTTTATTAAACAATTGTAAGCTATACATATAGTATGAATCGCTAAAGCTAAAACTTTAACTAGCTCACTCGTCTTAGTAATTACTCTAAGTGCAACTTTGGGAGTAATTTTTCACTCCATTAAAAGTTCAGGTGAAGACCCTTCCAACTTTTAATATCATTGCCTGCAGGTCACTACTGCAGATCACTCTTTGCAGTTCTGACAGAACTCAAAACCCAACCATTTTATTTCAAATTTAACTCCTTTTAATAAGATATCTGTGAAACCTTGATCTTCTAATCTTCCTTCTTCTATTAATGGAGTGCCTCTTCTTTCTGGTGATGCAGTTTTAGGCTTTGGACAAGGAAGGCTTGGAATGAACAACCAATTGGCTGGGCGTTTATGCGGAATAGATTGATTGGGCTTCTACGGGCCGATTCGGCCTAACTCCTCAGACATCGGCTTCCAGGAAGCTGTGGAGTGACTGTGTAGCCTAAGGAGCTTCGTTATGAAGTTGACGACTTCGTGGGAGGTATGACCGGAGGTGGGTTTGTCATGAATACTTGCATACCTCTATCAGAATCGGGTCATATGCTCTCGACAGACCTTATATACTGACATATCTCCCCCATCCAGAAAAGAGAAGCTTTGTTGACTCCCTTCGAACCGACGGTCATGGGCGAAATTATCTCAAAAATCGCTGAATCCCCCACGAAAATATACACTGCATCACTCGCGTCAGCAGTCCTTGGATATTTTGCGGTTAAGGGACTACATCACCTTTTCTCCAAGGGGATCGGTTCGCGCTCCCATCCACCAGGACCACCACGACAGTTTCTAATTGGAGCCATGAGGAGCTTCCCAAAAGGAAATTTCTTTGAATGCTTTAACAAATGGGCGTCAGTCTACGATACGTATCAGCATATCGCTGGGACGGTATATAGTTAAATGCTTGTTGGTCTAGGCGATATTGTTTATGCGCCCATACCGGGAATGAACATATTTATCTTGAATTCCTATGAACATGCTCAAGAGCTCCTAGCAAAGAGACCCAGCTCAACAGCTGGGCGTCGTTTTGGGTATCTAGCGGGTGAGCTGTAAGTGAAACCCTGTGCCATATCGCATAAACTCCATCATTGGCTGATTTCACGTCTTATCTTCATAGCATTGGCTGGAAATGGGAAATGATGTTTCTTCAACCGGGCCAGCACCTCTTCGATCAACGCAAGATGCTTCGACGAGCAATTGGGTCACAACGAGTCGCAAGCCATGACCCTCTTATTGAATCCGTGGTGACCAAGCTAGTCACTACATTGACCACCTTCCATGGTAACCCTATTGACCCATTTCAAGAGTAAGTTGCACTACGTGACTGGTATTCGGTTATTTACATGGACATATAGCTCTATTGGCGAGATGGTGTCCACGGCCACATATGGTGACCGAATCTGGAAAGAGATGGGGAAAGATTTATCGCAATGGAATATAAATGCAATATCCGTCATCACCGAAGCCGGATGGGCCTTCTGGATGGTTGATATATTTCACTTCCGTCGGTATCAATGCCAATTTCTAGCTAACAGAAGACTAATACGTTCTCCAATAGTGCGGTTCACTCCAGATTGGATCCCTGGACTACGTTTCAAGTAAGCATTCGATTAATTTTTGTAGAAAAAGGGAATTTTAAATTGATCGTATTTAGGGAGCTGATGAAAGAGGGTAATGATCTCTCAAAGAAGATACGACACATCCCCTATAATAGAGGATTAGAACTCTATGTAAGCCTGCTTTACTGGCATCATATTCTCTTCGAACGAATTCCTCAATCTCCTATAGAACTCTGGAACATTGGGTCATAGTATTCTGAACGACTTATTGGACGAGTCTGGTCCGAATGAAGA